GACGAAAACACTTCCAAGCCAACATATTTCGTGTAATGTATTTTGGGTGAGGTGGTTGCTGGTTAGCTGAAAATGGAATTTGCAAAGAAGTTTATTCATTTGTAAATGTCCCAAAGACTCCAATAAAGAGATTATTTCTGTGCTCCTGGGTTTTTGCTTCTCTTGCTAAGTTTTGGCTTTAAGCTTCTTGAAGGCGTCCATTCTCAGAGTGGCTGGGAAGGGTTAGGAGCGTATCATACCATAAACAGATCTTTTTGATGATATGTTTCATACTTATGTTTGCGGCCATAATCAGATTGATGGCTTATCCGAGCTGGATCAAGTCTGGCAGGAGTGTGAATACTCAAAGGCATGGTTTGTCTGCATGGGCTGTGAGGAGGGTGGTGATGGTAATTTTATCCCAGCTACCAGTTTATTTAAGAAACCTTTTTATTCTTCCTTTCTCCTTCAGACTGAGAATACAGCTATTGCTAAGTGGGGTGTTGATTTATTTTAATTACAGATTTTGATAAAAGTTAGATGTGTTCCTCTGGAATTTGAGATCATTTCTGCAAATAAAGAAATGTTCTCCCCACTGCTTCCCAGAAGCATCAGTTCCACCTGTGTACAGTTGGCAAATGCTGTGGGCAAGGAGGCAAACACAGGATCTCCAGGGAAGTGGGGTGTAGATGCAGCACCCAGTAATCCCCAGCTGTGATGCCAGTTTGTACTGGGTGAGCACTGCCAAGGCTGGGTCAGGAGCCCTAGCAGGGGAAAAGGACCCCATCTAAAGGTTTTCAGTGTTGTGATTTTTTTTTTTTAATTATTTGTTAAAAATGCTTGAAAGGCTTTTTCTTGGGGTGGTTTTTTTTTTTTTTTATGCAATAAAAATCTTTCCAAAGTTTTGCTTAAAGTTTGCCACACGGAGTGGGGCAGCTCTCTCTAAGATAGAGGTGGATTCATGAGATGCTTTCTCCCTTCTCAGGAGCAGGATATTTTCTAAGGCTATGACTAATAAAAACTGGATTGGGGTCATCATAATTAACTGACTGGAATATGATACTGCACCACAACATGGTGATTCGGCTCTTTCAGAGGCATTTCGACCTGGTATTGCTTATAACTGAACGCTCTCAAAGCATTTCAGAGTTGCTTGTATCATTATGTAACTCAATACAGCCAGTAATTGATAGTCATTACAACAATTGCCTACATAATTTCCCTCAATTTTATTCTTGTTTTGACTTTTGTTTGCCGCTTGTTGTCAGATGAGATCTGCTTTGAACTCAGACTTTTTTTTCTTTCTGGCTTTTGATTTTGCAAAACATATGACTTCCCATTAGCCGCAGCCTACAGCTCTGCTTGGGCAGGGTGATCTGCTTCTGCTGGGCCACCCTCGGCTTCCCCTCTGCCCTGGGACCATCGGGTTCCCAGCACTAGAAAGCTGCTGGTATGGTCCCTGTGAGAGCCAGCAATGGGATGGGGGTGGACCACAGCTTGCTTTTCCCTATTTCTCCTGCCTGGCTCCATCCTTCCAAAATCCTGCTTGGGCTTCTGGTATAGGGCATAGGACTGGTTCCCCCACATGAGCCTGGAGTGAGCAACGCCAGCCTTTCCCTCTGCTTGTTTGCTTAGATTCAAACATCCGTGGAAAATGTGGGTACGATGCTGCCAGACTAGTTTTGGTGAGCTTCTTAGAAGCAGTGGTGCTTCTCTGGTGGCACGTTTTACCTGGCGTGCTGCGGTCAGGGGAGCATGGTGCCGGTTAGGGGTGCGGCAGAAAGCGAGCTCCAACAACCTGAAGCTTAAAATGCCATCTGACTCATCAGGTTTGAGCCAGTGGTTTGGCAGGAAGGTGCGTTCACGGGGATGAATAGGATTAGGTAGTGATTTGAGATCTTGCTACTGTGTTCACATTGTGAAATGTGCCTGCTGACACAGATAGTGAATTTGTCCTTGGGGAATTCTGCATTTTGTACTTTTAATGACTCTTGCGCTCCCACATGCCAAAAGCATTTCCACCTCCTGTCGGACTATAATGCATGTTCTCGGTGCTGCATTAAGCTGCCTGGAGCCGCTCTTCTGACGGTGCTTTTTTGTGACATCTGCAATACAGCTGTTTGCTGAACTAGTCAAACCAAGTCTGCAAGACAGTCATGCTTCTTTAGCTGTTCAAGTCCGGCAGACCGCCCCCCTGCCCAAAGTCCCTCTCAGCCTTCATTTTCCACTTCAAAAGCATTGCATCTTTCATTCCCCTTTCAAATTGATCTTTAAGAGGATGCTTCTGCCTAGAGGAGGTCCATGCTGAGCTGTAGCATTGCTGGGGGCAGCAGGGCTGTGATGGCCTGTGCGTCGCTGGTGACGCAGGTGGAGGCAGGTCCACGTGCGGCTGGGTTGTGTGACGATGGCAGAGCGCGTGTGGGATGCTGCTGAAGGCTGATGCTTGCCACTGGTGCTGCTGAGCTGTAGCTCCAGGTCTGAGGCTTCCCAGCAGAGACAGGACTTTATCTGAACACAGCGGGAGAGAGACATCATGGATTTCATAAGGCATAAAAATCACTGTTTCTTAATATCCTTGTGTCTTTCCGTGTAGTAGCAGGAAGATACTGGAATACCTAGAGGCTCAAAGGGAGCTCATCCTCCGTATGCGTAGTGGAGGGGTCACAGTTCATATCAGTGGTGCCTGGCTTCCCTGGTTTTGGGAACCCAAAGCATCCCAACCCAAGGAATAGCCCTGAAGATGTAATGGGGCAGCGCAGATGCCAGCTTGGGCTTTCTGCATTGCTCAGAGTTGGACAGAAATTGTCTTTTCTTCCTAAACCTTGATTCGTGATGAGATTTCCCCTTGTCTGTAGAGTCTCTGCTGAAGTTGGTACAGGTCAGAGAGTAAGTTATTAACGGCCTTGTGGGTTGGGGGGCAGGAGGGAAGGGAAGAGGAGGAAACATGACTGAAGGCAACCTTGGGGACAGCTTCCTCCCATACTGCTGCTACTGCCAAGCTCGAGTGGATGGTGTTCACTCTGCAGGGGAAGAGCAGGCTGAAAGTGAGTTTAAGCAGAACTCAAAGAAAATCAATGCCACGTAAGTGGTGGTAGGTGCTTCCGCAGTACGCTGCTGTTGTGGTTTTGGGGCTGGGCTGGGGTTTTTCTGAATGGAGGTGAGGAAGCGAGCAGCCATGCAGCAGGAGCACTGCCAGCCCCTCATCTCCCAGCTGTGGGTCTGGGATGGGGCTCTGCTGCTGCTGGAGTGAGGCTTCCTTGCAGCTGTGAACAGCCTAGGGTCGGTGCCTGCTTTAGTCCTGGTTTCGGTCAGGGTCTTTCCCCTCTCTAGGGAGAAAACTGCTCTTAAAGCAGAGACGTGCGGAGGCTGCTTGGGAAAAGGGGTTCAGGCTGCCTGGTGCTCGGAATGCTCTGAGCACTGCTTCTCCCTGGCCAGCTCCTCATATTGTAACAGTAAACCCCCCTTTTAATAGAAGGAAATACCAGTGATACCAAGCTGATGAATTTGCTTTCTGAGTGTTGTCTTATTTGAGGTGACTAATTAAGCTGAAGCAAGCAATTGGGTGGCAGTGGTATTTGATGCAAGTTTGAGTGCTTGCTTAAATGACACCAATTCTGGTGTTGCCTGCATGGATCCCGGCTCTGGTGTGTCCCCAGCACTGCAGAGGCCACTGGGGTCCTGGCATGGGACAATGACAGCTCTGGGGATGTCCTGTGGTGCTGTACGGGAAGAGCAGCGCTGCCCTCCGTGTTACAAGGATTGGGTACAGCTGGTGGCCAGGCTTTGTTTGCAGGCTGAATGTCCCTCTGTTAGGTTACATTGTGAGCAGCCTGGTAGTCTCCTGATTTTTTTTTTTTTTTTTTTTAATAATACATTGTAGCTTTTCAGAAAAAAGAGCTACTGTTCCCTCTGTTATAGTATCCCTTGGTGTAATAGAGTAGAATACACTTGAGTTTTGAGTCACTGCTGTTTCTGGAAGGGGTTTTCAGCTTGCGAACTGCTGGGCTGTTCCTGCTTACTCCTCTCCCCTGAGAAGGAGTAAAACCGAAGGGAGAGGACCTGGTGCTGGGAGCTGTGTAATCTGGCAAGACTCAGCGGAGCCGACTGCTGACAGCCCTGTGGAAAATCCATTTGCCAGAGTCCAATAGGAAACTGGGCTCAAGCAAAATGTGCAGGAGGTAAAAGGAGCCCAAACCAACAGTTTTTAGAGAACAGAAGCTGTCAAGGGCAGGAAACAAATGGGGAGCATTTGCTGTGGCGGGGCGCAGGGCACGGCGCAGGACTGGGATCCATGTGGCTGCTCCGTGGTTCTGTGCTCCTGAGCAAATGCGGCATGAAAAGGGGGACTGCTTGAGGGGCCCTTCTGCTTGGGGAAGGTATAGCTGTGTTGAAAGTGAAACTCTTCTAATGGGAAAATAATGTTCAGTTCCACTTTGGCTTTAAAAGCTGATCAGGACCTTGTGGCTTTTGCTGCTGCCTTTGGCTGTGGAGGGATTAAAAGGCATCTGTTGCCTCCCTTTTGCATGGCCACATTCCTTATTTTTTCCAGGGCTGTGGCACTTCTTTGCCCCGCTCACTGTGTGTGCATGAGGAGACTACAGCTGGGGGGAAAAAAAGTAAAATTTGGATATCGTTGTGGAATTTTTTTTCCTATGTCTGCTAAATCAGCGCAGCAACTAGCTAATCCTCTCCTGACTACTTGGAGCTCTGGGACTACTGTGCTGGCAGGAGCACAGCAGAAGGATGCAAAGAGCAGAAGCAAGGCTTGTGGAACGCTACTTGCCCTGAAAAGTCCAAGGGAGATGCCAGAGACCTTGGTGTGCAACAGGGGACTCGCTGTTGGGCTCTGTGCTGCATCTCTTCAGGCTTTGTGGAGCATCCATCCCTTGGTGGCATCATGGCTGCAGGCTGACAGCACGGGTGGCATGGCAGAGATATAGCGGATGATGGAGGGATGCTGGTGGGAGAAGTAGGACTGAAAGCCCAGAGTGCAGAGGCAGATCCCGTGTGAAGGGCGAGCGATGGCTGCTAGCCTGGCAGAGACCTGCAAAGCTGTGGTGGAGCATGGGGAGGAGAATCCAGACCTCTTGCTGCTCCTCTGCTTGGAGGAGCTGATAGGTGCTAGGCATGTGGTGGGTGCTGGAGAAGCATTAACGTTGTCATGGTGGGTTTTTTCTGTTGTTGTGATGAGGCTTGTATGCCTGGTACTTACAATCCCACCCTGAAGTCCTGGGCTTCCCAAGCTATTCATGGCATCTCAGCCTCTTTTCCCTTCTTCTGAGAATCTACCTCTGAGCCTAGAAACTGTTCTGGGCTTTTTTCCCCGCTCCAGCACATCTGCTTTGTGTACTTGCCTTTGCACAAACAGTCCTTTCTGAAGGCTGCGTGAAGGGTTGCCAAAAGGAGGGAAATAATTTGGAGCAGTTCTAAAAAAGAAATCAATCTTTATGCTTTGCTGGTCTCTGAATCACACTTGTTTGTATTATGATAAACTTAGTTTTGACAGTGTGGTAGGCTCAGTCTGGCTGGGAGAGGCGAGTTAGTTCTCTTGTGCTGGGCTCTCTAATATTTAGCTGCCTGGTCAGGGACAGGCTTGTGTCTTGCACTCACCTGGGCTTCACCTCTGCAGCCCAAGAAGCTTCTTGTGCTCACCAGATTCCCAGGGTTTGCAAGTTGAGAGATGCAACTCTCTGGCTCCTGCTTTCATGGCTTGCTTGTTTGTGTGTTGGCAGTAATGGATTTCTCCTGTTTCTGGTTATTATGATCTTGTTTTAGAGGTTATAGCATGTAAATCGTATTTTGGAGAGGGTGAGTTAGTAAAAGCAAGTCCTGAGCTAGCGAGAGGATTTATTCTGGGATATGCCATGGGATTTTTTGCGCTGCTTTCTAACCTGGTTGGGAGGAAACAGAAGGAAAAGCTGCAGTCCTGGATTTATAAGCCCAGACAGTCTGTTCTGTAACCAAACAGCCCCCATCACAGAAATACCTGGGTTTGTTGCAGGGGACTTGACATAAAACGATACCAGGCACCGCAAAATGTGCAGTGTCTTAAAATGCCTAGTGTGTGACCTCCTGGCATGTTTTATTGAGTTACTTCTTGTCTGTTCAGGTCAGCTCTGAAATCCTGCGTACGCTTTCTGCCCTGGTTTTGTGCTCTGGCAGGATGCCGCCGTCCCGCCTTGAGCCTGGGGTGACTTCGGTTGTGGCGTTTGGTTCTTCCCCCAAGGGTGGCTCCAGCCTACATTAATGCATCTATTTTATGTAAGAAGTAACCCAGCACTAAACTTTTTATTTTGATCCAGTCTCCTGCCTCTGAGCTGTGTGTTTGGAAAGGTGAGAACAGGTTTCCCATGTCATTAGAGGAACAAAAGCTAAAAACAAAGCCTTCCATGTTTTGGAGCGTGGAGGAAGAAAACTTTTCAAGTTTCATTAAACAAATGAATATGTTTATAGCAGAGTGTTGCTGCTGAAGCCTTTGAGCACTTAGGTAGTGACAGGAAATCTGGAACACTTGAGACAAATGCAATTAAATTTGGATAAAACAGTTTTGGTTAACTTATGTTCCTGTTAATGTTTTCAAACAATCCTTGAAGTTTTTTTCTTTAAATATGTTTTTACGGTTCAGTGACAACAATTGATGGACAATTTGGAAATAGTCATACTTGAAGTTTGAGAATACACTTAAAAATAGGACAAAGCAAGGCTCCTGAAGCTGCGGTGAGTATAGAAGTATTAAGGCTGCCTGCAGATAAGCCTTGGAGCTGGTAGGGTTACTCCAAAAAGGTCCTGTACTCATGTCTGTTACGTAGTACAGACCAGAGGAATTTCTACCAGCAGGTAAAAAACCCAAAACTGCTGAATATGGGTAATCTGGGCTGGCGAAGACATCCTGCAGTTCAGCTCCGTGCTATGCGCCAAGGGTCTGGCTGGATGCACTGAGTTGTTCTGGTTTTTTGTGAGGGTGGGCAGGAAGGGTCTGGGTCCTCAGGCTTTTTTGGCTGCCAGCTCTTTAAAACATATTCTCGCTTTTCTTCTTCCTGTTGAATTTTGAGCGTTGGAAGGAAAGTCTTTTCCTTTGCATACTCCCAATGCAGATGGCATTCAGCGGCTTTGGGAAACGCAGGAGCAAGTCTCCTCTGCCTCAACTTTGGGCTTGTTCTTGGTTTATGGTTGACTTGGAGACTTCTTCCTTCCCCTTCCAAAAAGGCAAAGTCATAGTTTGCTGGGGAGGGAATTCTCTCCTGTTCATTATGTATTCGCATCTCTCTCCTCCGGTATTTCCTGTGCCTGCAGAAAGAGCCTGCTGACCCTGGGAGAGGCTGGCAAGTCTCATCGTGCCTTGGGGTTCAGGGCCAAAGCTGGCTGGGTGCAAGATAAGTCTAGAAACTGCCCCAAGGAGGTGACATGCATCAAAAGCCGATGACGTGCTGAGCAGCTTTTGTCTTGGATAAATAGGAGGAAGGAGGATTTGTTAGGCAAGTGGATGTGCTCAATGGTGAGGATATAGTCTTCCTGGGCAGGTAGGAAAGGAGGGGAGCTTGTTCCCATTGGGCAACTTGCTCAGTTTGTTTCAAGGAAACAGCTGAGCTGCTGGGATGGTTTCTCTCCCTTGGTTTGTGGGTGATCCCTTTCTCGTTCCAGTTCTTTAAATACTTGCAGGCTGATGGAGAACCACTGGAGGCTTATTCCCCTTTTGCCTTAAATAGTAGGTTTGATTATTTCTTCTGTAGCAGGAAGAGATGCGAATAAACCAGGCTGAATCTTTTTCTTTGTCTCCTTCTCAGAAAGATGTCTTGATAATTGGTTTCAAGTACTAGACTGATTGCAGAGGGCCCTGCAGTTCCTGAAGTCTCTGGGACTGAAGTGACAGCAAGGACAGGTGAACTGATGTGTGAGGGATGTTGCAGAAAGCATCTTCACTGAGTATTGCTTGTGGTGGACCTTTAAACAGAGACTTGACCAGACACAGTCTGCCTGCTCATCTCCTCGGGAGCTCCTGAAAAGGCTCAGAGAGCAACATGCTCACAGCAGCCCTGGATAAGTGCCGCCACTTGCGAAATAAATAATGCAGCTCTTGCACTGCTTACTCACAATTGACCGTTGCTTCTCCCTGTAATGAGGTCTGCCCCCTTGAGGGTATTTTAAAGGTTAGTTAATTAGGTGTAATTGCAGCAGAATAGAAACCTGCTCTGAGGTTCTGCCTGCTTTCTGTAGTGCCAGATCCTTTAACAAATTACCAAGTCAGTTCCTATAAACATTGCTGGAGCCAGTGTAATGCTGAGTTATCAGCCTTCCACTCAGCCTGCTTGTTTACGTTGATGAAGCCACAGAAGTGAAGTGCTAGAAAGGGTGTTCCTGGCTTTAGGATCAGTGCGGCTGTGCTTCAGATCACAGCAGCATTCTGGGAAATACATTGAATGAAGCAACATTAAGTTATGCTCACACTGTCGGCATGTCAATGCTTTCTCAGCACCCAGCACAGGGGGATAGATGTGGTCTTAGCCCAGACAAATGCTGCATTAACAGGGATCAATTCATTTCAGCTGATCACGTTGCAACCCATTGATTTAGTGACTGTGTGATCTAAAGAGAACGGCTGTATAGGGACAGCTATGTCTTTGGCAAGTTGCACAGCTGCTCCGGTATTCGGCTGCAGGAGGTTCAGCAGTTCCAGCACGTTTGCACATTTCCCAAAGATTGAAAAATACAACTACTCTGACTTCTATAATTAGTATTTAAAAATATATTTTTTTTCCTTGAAAGTGTGGGTTTAGCCTTGAGACACAAGGTGGGTTTTTACAAACAAATGAGTATGTTGGCTCATACCCTTCTGTTAAATGCAGAGGGTAGAGATGCTGCAGCCACCTTTGCATAACCATGAGAGATTTTTACATTGCATGTGCTCGCTCTGTTAAATTCCTCTGTACCACTTCAGGCCAAAGATCTGGCTAAACATAACGAGGAGAGCATCTGGCGTGAGCCTGCTCCTGCACTTTAGAGTATTGCTAACTAAAAATCCCCTCTATTTGGCAGTTATGCCAGTGTGGCACTCAGCTTTCTCTCCGCTTGAGTTCAGGGATTGTGTGACTTACAATACTGTTTTTCCCACAAAGATAAAAGATGTTCAGAGCAGATTTGGGCTTCTTGCAGACAGAAGGAGGTAGTCAGAGTTATGTGAGAGGTACCTGGATTTTTCATGTCCTATCTCAGTCAAGCAGGCCTTGTGGGCCCCTGTATACCCAGAATTGGTCTGGACCTGCTTATTCAATTAAATGCATTTCCTATGTTTAAAGCTCCAAGATCCACTGGATTTTAGGACATTTTTGGTTCTCTGTTTTGCTTGAAACTCCCTAAGCTGTAAATTGGCAGAGAAAGTGTGCTGGCACATGCAGTGGCTGCCGGCTGGCAGGGGTCTGCTCCTGCTGTCCCTTTGTTCTCCCTTCTTGAGACCCTTCTTACTGGCAGTATGAAGCAGGCAAACCTGGTACTGCCGGACACAGCAGGCTGTCTGCAAGCAGGGCCTTGTAAAACAGACTCTGCTACAATCCAAAGACTTCAGATGATGAGGAGAGTTAGTCTGAGCAGCCTTTTTTAAGGCCAAACAGAAGATAAAGTCTGGCTTTGGGCATGTCTAACATAGCGTGGAGCCTTGCACCAAGCTGGGCAGAGATCCAAGCAGCAGAACGTGCGGGCAAAGGGGAGTGTGGTCCAGCTGGTGAAAACTGAAAGCAGAGGCTGATAGAAAAAGCTCACTTTGGATTAAAAGTGAAGTTTTATTTTCTGTTTGTACTACTTCAGAGTCCATGTTCAAGCTGAACGTACAGATGCATGGGGAACGATGTCTGCATGTGCTGTGCTTGATCGTGCAAAGCTGATTAAACAGCTACATAGATGTTTGGAAACCTTGCTGGCCTGTTAACAGTGATGGTGAAAAGCTGCAGTTACTCGCTTCCCCTCAAGCATACCCGGGGTCCTTGCCCACTGAAGGGGTGGCTGCTTTCTTTCCATAGACTTTCCTCAAAGGCACTGGGTGAAAACTGGCCCTTTGGAAGCTGATGCTGAAGCTGCAGCTTGTCTAGCGTGGATCCTGCTTCCTTGCCTGGTCCTGCCTCACTCTGTGTTTAAATTTGAC